TATTTTATTGCATGACTATTTATCCACTAAAAAACAAATCAATAAGCAATTGAGTTCAGCCAATTCAGCAATTACCAAACAGCCCTTAGACATGAAGACTGAATTGTAGTAATCACTTGATCAAGTTAATAGTTTTATTGTCGTGCTGCCGAAAAAAAAGGTCAAATTGAATTTCAATAAGGGTATCTCTGAATTCAATCCAATAAGCATCTAAAGTTACGAGTTAAACTATGACCCTGTTTAATGCTTTTAGGCTATGTTTGATTTGAAGGAAAAGGTAAAAAAAGAAAGGGAAAGACAAGGAAGGCTTTACAAGGTTTATAAAGGTTTCCTTACCCTTCCCTTCCTTTCCCCTACTTTTTCCTTCAAACCAAGCACTGCCTTAAGGAACCATTTGATGATGGTTAGTTTGGCTGAACTGAATTGTTTATCTATTTGTCTTTTAGGCTATGTTTGGTTTAAAGGAAAAGGTAAGGAAAGGAAGGGAAATATAAGGAAACCTATACATATTTTGTAAAGGTTTCCTTACATTTCCTTTTCCCTACTTTTCCTTCAAACCAAACACAGCCTTAATGAATAAGTAATTAAGTGGGGCGTAAGTTCCTTAATTGATGAATGACATGCTGGGGTCACTACTCTATTCATGAATATTTTATTGCATGATTATTATATCCACTAAAAAGCAAATCAATAAGCAACTGAGTTCAGCCAATTCAGCAATTACCAAACAACCCTTAGACATGGAGATTGAATTGTTGTAATCACATGATCAATTCAGTAGTTTTATGGTCGGGCTTAAAAAAAATTCAAATTGAATTTGAATAGGGTATTATCCGAATCCAATCCAATAAGAAATTCCGAATTAAATTATGACCCTGTTTAATGCTTTTAAGGAACCATTTGATGATGATTGATTTGGCTGAATTGAATTGCTTATCTATTTGTCTTTTAGTGAATAAGTAATTATGTGGGGTGTAAACTCCTTAATTGATGAATGACATGTTTGGCTTACTACTATATCTGCTAAAAAGCAAATCAATAAGCAGTTGAATTAAGCCAATTCAAAAATTATTGATCACTACCTACAATACAACATCATATCAACAAAGCTCATATAAGCAATCATGTAATCAAAACTACACCACTACTCGGACAATTCATCCAACGCACCAACTAAGCTATCCCTCAATTGGTTTGAGCTATATATGAATTTGATCCAATAAGATAATAAAATATCTAAATTTGACCCATTTTCATATTAGGGGTATAAAAATAGAATGAATCTATGAAAAGGAAATAAAAATATAAATATACCATAAAAAGAAAATATCAAATCTTAAAGAATGTTAATTATAAAAATGGCAATCAAATTGGGTTGCACATTTGCACCCTAGTTTATGATCAGGTTATATCCAAAATCGATCCAATTAGCAAACAGATCATTATTCGACCCGATTATGGTTACATGGATATCTGAACCCGACTGTACCATTTGAGGTAGTCCAAAAGATGTGACATGGGGCCCAAAGGGAATAATGAATGGCTAAGAAAGCATCATTAGATAAGAAGTATAAGATCCAGTCCCACCAAATTGTACGGTCCAGATTGGCATATAGATGAGTCTAATATGTGTTGGTGTTACTATGGTGTCATGTGTACACGTTCGTGATTCCATTCAAAATGCAAGGGCAATTCCGTCATCTAAGCCAACGGTAATTCTACCTATTAATTTGATTCCCGCTTACAGTTTACAAGGACAAGGACGTAACTTCAGTGAACGGACGAATTCGCATCTGCTCCATACAGAGCGCCCCACCCGCGCCCAACATGCACATCTCAGCGTGCATTGGGAATATCTCCCACAGTTTTCATTGGGAAGTGTCCCCTATGCACGGTTGGGATGTGCTATGGGAAGCAGAATGCGAATTTTGAACGGACGGGACGCCCTTTCTCGCTCTCTGCTTGCTTAAAATATTTAATTATATTTTAATCAACAATTAAACCATAAATAATCAAATTAATAATCTTAATTTTATTAAATAATTATGCTTTCAAAGCAGAAGATTAAACCATATTGTTCTCCATATATAGCTGCAATAAATGTAGGCAGAGTTTTTGTGGGTAGGAGATCTGGACTTTTCAAAGCATGATTAATACGAGTCCCCATCCTATGAATCCGTGGATTCACGAAACATGTGAACCCGCCAATGAGACCAAATTGCCTAAGTATTAGACATGTTCATGGGTCGAGCTGGCCAGGCTCAGGCCGAGCTTTCACTCTATATTAATAGATTTTTTTAAGGCCTGAGCCCGAGCTCGGCCCGACCATCAGGCCTACAACTTGGGCCCGAGCCCGAAATTCAGCCCATATTGTTACTATTACTACTGTTGAAGCAGCTGAATAGAGAGAGATAAATTATAAAGAAAAGAATAAAAATATATATATTAAATTATAAATATTTATATATATATATATTAATAAAATATTATATTATTTATATAATATATAAAATACATATTATATATTTTATAAAATATATAATGCTGAGTCGGGTTAGGCCAGGCTTGGGCTAGGCTTTTTTGACAAATCCCGAGCCCGGCCCGAAATACAATCGGGCTTACTGTATTAGGCCCAAGGTCAGGCCCGCAGGCCTAATTACATGACCAAGCCCGACCAGGGTACGGGCCAGGCTAGGTCGGGCCATCGGGCTATCCGACCCATGAACAGGTCTACTAAGTATAGATGGACTAACTTTAACGGGGTTTTGGCCGTTAATTGGGTATGCGGTTGAACCAGGGAACAAAATGACAAAAATTAAATTAGCCCCCTCACATTTCGAACCCTCTTTCCCCTTTTCTACTTTTCTCTTTTCTCCCGGTTGAATCAGAGTACTCTCTTTTTCTTCTTCTTCCTACAAAGGTGTTTTTAATTCTTTCTTTGGACAGATCGAAGGTGACCTTGAAGCATCCATGACAGTTTTGTAATAATAAGAAGAAGAAGCAACTGAGGTTTGGGGTCACCTTTTATCTAGAGGTGTAAAGTGGGCCATGCCGATCCGGCATAGCATGGCCCGTGGGCAGCCCATGAAAAGTGTGGGCCGTGCCGTGCTGCCCTACGGGCTATTACGGGCCATGCTGCCCTCCCCGATGAAATTTTTGGGGGTCGTGGCCTGTGCGGGCCAGACTGACTCGTGGGCCAAGCCTTGGGTCAGGTTGGGCTGTGCATCGGGCCAAAGCTATTTATTTAAAAAAATTGATAAAAAAACTTAAAATTTTAATTTTATATGAAATACACAATTGCTTATATATACAATAATTAAATAAATTAGAATAATAAAATTAAAAAAATATTTATTTTATTAATATATTATATACTATATCTTATTATACAAATATATAATATGTATATATATATACCGCGGACCACAAGCGACATGGCCTGCTTAGTTGTGTTGTGCCATACCGGCCCGTGGACCTAAAACCCCAGACAGCATGATCTGCATGATCATGCCAGACCGGTCCAAATTTGTGCCAAGCCACGAGCGGCAGGGCCCAATTTACACCTCTACTTCTATCCACCCTTCATTACAAAGTGGACGCCATTAACATCTTTGCAACTCTAGAATAATAACTTTACGGGAAAAATTCCTCCTAATATTGGTAGATTGACAAATCTCACTGTCCTCTTCCTCTACAATAATCACTTCTCAAGTGTGATACCCCTAGAGATTGGAAACCTAAAAAACTTGCAACAACTAGACCCATGGTGAATGCTCTCACAATCATAGGTCATATACCTCGCACGATTGGAAATCTATCAAAGCTTGATTTCTTACAGCTTTTCTACAACAATTTGACTGGAACGATTCCGCTGGAGATTGGTAACATGTCATCATTACGGACGCTTGGTCTCAACACGAATCAATTGTAGGGAGAGGTGCCAGACACCACCTCTCGCCTTGAATATCTTGACACACTCTCCTTGTTTTCCAACAATTTTTCGGGTAGCATTCCGAATGAATTTTGACAGCGTAGTAATTTGGCTTATGTTAGCTTTTCCGGTGAGTTACCGCCGGGATTATGTAATGGCTTTTCTGTCTACCATTTGACAATCAACAACCACCATTTCACAGGGCCATTACCTGATTGCTTGCGCAATTGCTCATAACTAGTTAGAGTCAGGGGCTTGAAGGAAACCAGCTCATTGGGAACATATCAAAGGCTTCGGAGTACACCCAAAGCTTCTGTACATAAATCTCAGTGGTAATCAGTTGTTGGGTGAGCTCTCCCCGGAGTCTGTCTTCAAATGATTGTTGTTCAAGTTAAGCTCAAATGATTGTTGCAACAATCACAGGAGTGATCCTTTGAGCGTTGGCAATTTAAGTATATACTACAGATGCAGCTGATGTGTGGGTTGAGAAAATGGTGCAGCAACCTTTTCTGTTTAGTATCAATTCTCCAGGAAACGTTTGTTGCACTTTTACTCGTTATCCATATCTACATCACTGTCATGTTGGTTGCAAGGAGTACAGTTACAGGAAATATCAAATTTGACATTGCTCAAATCCATGTCTTCTCGATTTCTAAGGTATGTTTTAGAACATTATTTTCTATGAAAAAATAGTCCTCAACAGATTGACCGTTTTCTAGAACACCAATTTTTCTTATATGACACTGATGTGGCACCGTTTTCTAGAACAACAACAACGATGCCCATCATACGCTAACTAGGCTACAAGTACTTGACTTGTCGGAAAAATGTATTAAATGGTATTATACCTTCAGAACTTGGAAACTACACCAACTTGAGGTTCGGGGTTACCTTCGAACTGTCCGAACAGAGAACCAGGAATATCTTTGTAAGAAGAAGAGAAAGAACATTTTTAACGTGCAAACAGATGAGGAACATTTTTATCCTTCTACATGATATTTAACGTCCGTTAATGGTTTTGGATTAACTTGATACTTTTTAAAAGCTTGAGTATTAAAGTGACACGTTTGATTGACACTACCCCCAAAGTTCAGATACTAAAGTTCCCATTATCTTCTCTGTTTTAATTTTCTCTGCTTCTCACTCTCTTTTCTGGTTTTTCGCGTTACAGTATTTCTTTTACTCTCTCTCTCTCTCAGATGAGGAGCTTTTGAGTCCGAGAAAGTCGGTGGGAGAAGAAGAATAAGCGATAACTTCATTGTCTCACATGAAACACATCATGCAACTTCTTACCATCGACCTCCGTAAATCCGGTGAATCTCCGGCTTAGTTTCTCGTACTGATGTACCGGAGTGTCAGGCTCCGGCGACTCCGAGGCGTCGTAACCGAGATCCTGTTGTACAAGGTCGCATTCTCTCTTTCTCTCGCGCCCTGAGAGATTTTTGACCTTTTGTTTTTGTCAGATATGGATTGGGCTATGTGATTCCTCTTAGGATGATCAGGAGTTTTTTCCCTTTTGTTCCTCCTTTTCGCTCTTCTGTCTCTCTCCCTCTCCCTATCATCCGATCTCGTTTTTCGAAGTGGAGTTCGTTTTTTCTGTTGTACAGGAATTGATTCTTATTCTTTGAGATGCTTTCCGCAGCTTTTTGGAGTGATTTTTTGAGTTGAATTCTGCTTTTTCGGGCTGAATCTAGTGTTTAATTCATTAATTGTTTTCATTTGCTTGACTATGCGTCTTTTTAGGTAATTATCTCTGCTTTTACTTAATAGGTGATCTTCGGCTTAGATTCTGCTTCTGGTTTTGAATCTAGTTACTTTTGAGGTGCTCATTTGGTTTATTCCCTCCCTTTTACGGTAATTGCGAACTTTTTTTATCGATGGGGTCTTGTCTGTTGTAAAGATCCTTTATTATTATTATTTTTTTTTTCTCTTTGAGGCTTCGAGTGTTGATATTGGTGCAGTTAGCCTCATTTTGGATGAATGTACGTGATTTTGCCGATTTATTTAGTTTTCTTTTCTGCATTTTAGTTCAATTAGCTCTTTTTATGGCCATGATGTGGTTTTCTCATGTAAATTTGCAGCATTTTTTAAAGGAAAAAATGGTCATAGATTCTGATTGAGTTTGGTTCGTTTTAGTGAAAGCGAATTCTTATTCTTCTTTCAATTTTCTCTTCTTTCACTATTTCTAATGCGTTCTTGTGGCTAGGCTTCAATTAAGACCGGTAATAAGTGGATCGTGAGAACTTGCCTGATTAATTTTGGCTAAAGTTGCGGGAATTAGAAATTAAGGGTTTTACTACTAAGTATCAGCTGTGCTTTATGTTTCATTCAAGCGTATACCCTCTTTTTAGATTCTATCGATCTTTTTGGGAATCCCTATGCTTGTTCCTAGACTTGAAAAGTAGTTCCTCTTTTATGTAAAATTACTGCTGTTTTAGTTTTACTAGTTTCCCCATTTCAATCTACCATTTGGTTCTTCTCAGCTCTCAGCTATCTGCTCATTTTCTTTTTTTCTATTTAATTCTTTTCGCCTAGTTTTTAAGGTGGGTAAATGCTACTGATGGAGTTCTTTCCTTGTCTGTTTGGGTTTCTCTCCTGTTTCTTGACACGATGCTTGACAAGTAGAGTTCGATGACATGTGTGAGCTTGTTTTTTTGCCTTTGTTTTTGTTAACTTATCCTTCTCTGCTACAGGTCTGCTCCAGTTGTGGAATGGGGTTGTTTTTGTGATATCTTGGTCTCAGGTGCTGAAATGAATATGAACGGGATGCAAAATAGAAGAGCTCGTGATCTAGATAAGCCATTTCCCGGATGCATGGGAAGAATGGTGAATTTCTTTGATTTGAGTGCAGGCATACCTGGAAACAAGCTGCTTACAGAGAAAGCACATCGAGATGGTAATCTCTGCATATATTTATTTCCTTTTACCTTTGATGTTGTGGACTTCAAGGAAGCTGAATCCTATCACTGTGTTCATTTATGTCTATAGTTTTCAAATTTGGCTTGACGGTAGCTGTTTTTGTCATAGTTTCTGTATGAACTTTTTATTTTTCTAACAGATAGAGAGCATTAGGTAAGCCACAACATAATCATGCAGATATAAATAAACAAAAATTATCTTCAATATTGATTAAAACAAGAAACTATGCCTTCCTTTTTTTTTTGGATTGATGACAATAGAACTGTAATGTGTCGCTTGAAAGTTTCACCATTAGATGAAGAATTACTTATTTCTAGGAGCCCCTTACTGTCCATAGGATTTCTGATTTGCATGTTATAGTTGGATTTGGCCTGTCAGGTGCATATATTAGACACGATTTAAAAAATTGTGAAGAATTTATATAATTCCTTTCTCCTAAGTGTCACATGTATGTATTAAAAAATTCAATTTCTATATATTCCTTAAATATGTCAAATGGCTGGACAGATATTAATCAATATTTCTGATATACTTGCTGATATTCAAAGGTCTGTAGTACATAGTTTCTATTTTCATGATATAAAAGTTAATAACTATTCCCTTTCTAGAGAAGACTACACCTTTTCTGAGGAAAAAAAGGAGTTACACATTAATGTCTTTTCTGAATTGCTGGTTTTATATTTATGTGCTAGCATCTTCCATTGGTTCTTGATGTAAATCTGATTAATGAGCAGGATATTTTCTTCCTAGAAGTCGATCAGAGAAGTCGGATCCCATCAGAGATCAGATGGAGGATAATCTAGTAAGCTTTCTGAAACCTCATTTCAGTGAACCATAATTGTATATTATTAAAACCAATTATGACTTGATTTATCTTGGGAAATAAACTTTTCCTTTTCTCAAAAAATGATTATTTATCTTGGGAACTCAATATAATATCATAAATCACATGGCCAAAGGCAATGGTATCTTGACTCAGAATGCGTTCTGTTTGGGGACATACAGATAGGATACGAGTTGAGTAGGACTTCTTCAAGCAAGAAATCAAGGGGAACACCCATGAAGATGCTTATAGCCCAAGAAATGTCAAAAGAAACAGAGTCTAAGGAAAAGCCGCCTGGTGTGGTTGCCAAGTTGATGGGGCTGGATGCACTTCCAGGAAATCATCCTGACTCAACAGTAGAGAGAAGCCGAGCAAAAGGTTATTTACCAAATTCTTTTACTCAACCAGGGACAATGCTGAAATATCAGCACCAAGAGAGGCAAATTCAACATGAGACTCGTCTAGTTCAGGAGCAGAAAGAGTACAAAGATGTTTATGAAGTCTGGCAGCAATCACCAAAAGGCAAAAACACTATGGATAAATCTCCACAAAAGGGAAGATATAATGAAAATCTAAATGAGAAAAAGATGGATCTTGTCCGTCAGAAGTTCATTGAAGCCAAACGTCTTGCCACTGATGAAAACCTCCGCCAGTCTAAGGAATTCCAAGATGCATTGGAGGTTCTGAGTGCCAACAAGGAGTTATTCCTCAAGTTTTTGCAAGAACCAAATTCACTGTTTGCACAACGTCTGTGTGAGCTACAGTCTATTCCACCACCTCCTGAGACAAAACGCATAACAGTCCTAAGACCTTCTAAGACCTTGGAAAATAGCATATTTGCTGAGCAAGAGAAGAAGGATGATAGACAAATAAGGAAACAAATGCAAGTGTTTGAAGCAAATAAGTGGGACAAAGACAAGTCTAGCTGCAATCCTATGTATACCAATCAAAAGGTTGATGTTTCTGCTCAACCAACACGGATAGTGGTCTTAAAACCTAGTCCTGGGAAGACCCATGACATTAAAGCTCTTGTTTCTTCTCCTCCCTCTTCACCGAGGTTGACACAAAATAAAGACTTCTGTGTGGAACCAGAAGATGACGAGGCAAGAGGATCAAGAGAAGTAGCAAAGGAGATCACACGACAGATGCGTGAAAATTTGAGCAGTCACCGGAGGGATGAGACTTTGATGTCCTCTGTGTTTTCCAATGGATACATTGGAGATGAGAGCTCATTCAATAGGTCAGCAAACGAGTATGTAGAGGAAGGAAATCTCAGTGATTCAGAGGTCATGACACCAACATCAAGGCATACATGGGATTACATCAACAGGTTTGATAGTCCCTACTCGTCTTCTTCCTTCAGCCGAGCATCCTATTCTCCAGAGTCATCAGTTTGCAAGGAAGCAAAGAAGCGGCTTTCAGAAAGATGGGCCATGATGGCATCAAATGGAAGTGGCCAAGAGCAAAAACAATTACGGAGAAGTTCTAGTACATTGGGTGAGATGCTTGCTCTTTCTGAAACAAAGAGTTCTATAAGATCTGGTGAAGATGATCCTGATGGGGGGCTTAGTGCCATTAGCAGCAGATCCTGTGGTGATGAACAAGATCTGATGACACTAACATCATGTTTATCAGGTATCAGGAATAGGAATGAAGGTGTGGAGGTATCTCCCGAAGTTCTACCAAGGTCAAGATCAGTACCTGCTTCCTCTACAGCTTATGGTATGGAGCTAAATGTTGAATTTCCAGATCCCAATATTGGTAAATCAATTGTTCCCAAGGAAGAGTCAAAGTCAAAGGGAGGGATATCATCATTCAAGGGAAAAATTTTTAGCTTAGTTTTTTCAAGGAATAAGAAACCATGCAAAGAAAAATCTTGTGCATCTCCCTTGGCTGGCTCTCAAGGTCATTCTCAGTCTACCCTTGCAGAGACACCAGGGGTTGCAAAGCAGCTTTCGCCAGGAAGAAGTGATGATATTCCACAATGTGTTACTAATAATGGACTTGGAGGTGGCTTATCATCTAACTTAAGAGTGTTGTCAAACCATACTTCCTCATCGGCTTCCAACTGTGTAGGAACAAAACAAGGCAGTTTCACATACGAGGTATGCAACTTCCCTGTTGCTTGCTCTTATTGTTGTGTTATTCAAGGTTCAATACATGCTCCTCAGCAATCAATGACCTTTTTTCCATTATATTTAGATACCTAGAATATATGTTTTGAGAACCTTGATTGCTATCTTTGTATCAACAAAACATTCTTCCACTAGTCTGCACTGACCACTTGTATGTTATTCATTCTAAGAAAATTAAAGTTGACAATATCTGCTTATATTATGCTTCCTTTGATTTGCTTTGATTTGCAGGCTGTTATCTAGACTGAACTGAATTTTAGAGAAAATTAAAGTTGACAATATCTCTAAGAAAATTAGAGAAAATTCACGTTAGGCTGAACTGAATTTTGATGTATGTTTCCTTTGATTTGCAGGCTGTTATCTAGACACCTAAACAGCTTGTACCTGTTATTATTTTAATAAATTCTTTTTATTTACTCTTCAAAAAAGAATTTGCCTAATTAGTGAGATCTTTTTAACATTATAGGCAGCATCTCTAGCAAACCAGGAACAACCAAGCCCTATTTCAGTGTTGGAAGCACCATTTGAAGACGATGCAGACACAACTTCACAGCTCTCTGGAAATGTCAACTCTGACCACCAGGGTAAGTTGTTGAGATTCTCCCATGGTAACAAGTTAATCCTTTATTACCTAATCTAACCTTGTGCATTGCCTTATTTGCAACAGGGCCATCTGTGAACTTTCACCCTCTTAGATCAAACTTAATTGACAAATCCCCACCAATAGGATCAGTTGCACGGACCCTGTCTTGGGATGATTCTTGCTTAATAGCTTCCAGGCCAAATTCATTAAACTTTTCTAGGTTTCTCTCTGAGGCAGAGGAAGAACAAGATCAATTTTTATTTTTCCAGGCATTACTTTCAACTGCAGGCCTGGACCATGAGGAACAGGCAGATATGATAATATCCAGATGGCATTCACCAGAAAGTCCATTGGATCCATCATTGATTGAAAAATGTATCAGTCTCCATAATGATAAGGAAATTTTGCATGAAGCAAAGCACAGACAGAGAAGATCAAACAAGAGACTGTTATTTGACTGTGTCAATGCAGCCCTGGTCGATATGATGGGATATTCATCAGAAGTGAGCCCATGGGTGAGGATGTGTAGCACTTTCCAAAGTAGGGCTTCAGTAGATGCACCAGTGACTGTGGACAAAGTATGGAGCTGTGTGAAGAAGTTGTATAATAGCAGTGAGGGAAGATGCTATTCAGCTGAAACCGGGGACAGCACCAGCCTGGTGGTGGAGAAGGTTGTGAGAAAGGAGGTGGCAGGAAGGGGGTGGGAGGATGTCATGAGGTTGGAAGTAGATACAATAGGGAAGCAAATAGAGGGAGAGATGCTGGAGCAGCTGGTCCAAGAGGCTCTTGTTGAATTGACAGGTTGGTTGTGATGAAGATGTACGTTATTTTCAATTTTTTTTTTCTCTATTTCTGTACCGTGATTATTACTTAAATTCATGGTGGTCTTACCAACCTCAATTTCTTTTATGCCACAAATTTTCATGTTTGTATTGTTTAAATATTTGATTTTCCCACCAAGTATATAAATATTTGCATTTACAATACACATTTTGTTAGGTTGCTTCCACTATCTTTATTTTTCTGCTGCTGACCTGCCGTTGTCTTATTTTGAGGGACCTCTTGCTGTCTCTATTATGTGCTTCTGGAAACTTAATTTACTGTAACCAGGCAATACTGAACCTTACCTCAATCCTTGCAGTGACTCCTATCTATTACATTTGGAAGTTTCACAAAAGATGTTCTACTTGACCTGTACCTGAAAAGGATTTGTTTTCTGAATCTGTCTGGGAATTCAGTCTTTTTCATTCAGTTTGGGTTATGTTATTTCCCATTTTTTTCATGTTTCAGAAATTCAAAGATAGACCAACCTGACTGGATAAACTTTCTAGTCAGTTTGAAAATCCCAAGGAATTTGGAAAATAATAGTCCTATCCTGACAAGTTCCAGAGAGGTAATCCATACCAAATACATGGTTGGATACTCTTGGATGTGGTTTCATTAGGGGTCTAAGGATGTATTAGATCTTGGGTTCACATCTCTCTGTTCACAGTTGGAATAATTCTTAATGACAATTCACAAATTCTACACCACTAATCCTTGAATCCAAGGGCCTCCAGATTTAACCTTCTTATTTTGGGTATTCTGCTTCTCTAAAAGGACTAATGGGGATTATGATAATACACATTGCACCTGTGGGACTGTCGGAGTTGAATTAGATAATAGACTATTTGTTTATGTGTACGGCCTCCAACCTCCACAGTTAGCATTCAATATTGGACTGTACATGTCATGTGCCAAAAACATCATTGCCCTCTAAAAAAGCAGCTCTTTGTACTTTCTACTGTTGCTGGGTTATATAATCTCCAAGTGGTTCTGATAGTTGAGTCTAATGATTGTTTGTAAGCAAAGCTAGACAAAGAAATATTCTGTTTATTAATGTGATTCTGAATCAGTGAGAGGACAATTTGGACAGAGTGGGTTTTTTAATATATGAAGGATGGAATAGACAGAAGTAATTCAAAATCTGTGTTTTTATTTCTATTATTTTTAAGATATTGCAAATTTCACTGGTTTTAACCTTTAGTTTATCTCATTTTTGTTACTAGTGAGTTAGCTCAACTAAGTGATACTCCACTTGGCTGCTTCCCTATAAGCTGAGTTATGGAGCTTAAAGCCATGCATCTTGGGTTATGCTAAGCTAGCAACTTAGATTCCAATTTTATAAAAGAAAGCTTAAATTAAATATTCTTTTTCCACATTGCATGAGATTAGCAGGTGAAAGATGAGTTTTGAGTTCTGCCCCGACCCAAGGACCAGCAGCAGCAGCAGCAACTTGTGTAGGTCTTTAACAACTAAAACTAATGGTGGAAATAAATGTATTACGTATTATATACTTTAAGCCACAAATGATTGCTATAACAAGTTTTATTTTATAATTTGGTGTAAGTGGCTGTTTGGTGACAGCCGAAGCGGCTGAACTGAAAAGCTTATTGTTTTGTCTTTTAGTGATCTAAGGAGTTTGTGGGCTTCTTGATGAAGTTAGGTGGATTATCAGCAACTTCATCTGTCATCAAATGGTCCCCAAGTGTTATATTTTCCTGTACTTGAAAACAGAACAAGTTGTGTCAACAACTTGTAGGTATGCATGTATTAGGTTAACCTTCCAAAAAACAGAACAAGAAAGAAAGAAAAGGTAAAGGGGGGGGGGGGCGGGGTTAACAAGCTCAAGTGACGTGTCATGTCAATTAGGCCAAATTGTCCAAGACAGCTGTCCACTTGTATCGACATGTATATATACATCTCAGCTGTACAAAATTGAATTATCATTCAAATTCTTCACCGAGTCTTGATTTTCATGGTATTAGAGCCTGACCAGGTCAGGGTGTTTTCGTATGTCTCCCACGAATGTTCTCCATCAGGTGGTCTTCGTCTCTGACGCCGGTGAACTGCAACGTCTTTGTTCCTTGTCTCTGGCGCTGCTGAACTACAGTATCACCGTTCTTGATACCTTGTCTTTTTGAAGTTTGAAACTCTCCCTTGTCGTGGTCAGAGATCTAGATCCATCCTCTCCGTATTTCTTGCACCTGTTAGATAACCTTGGTGCTGTTCTTGTATCATGCCTCCTCACCGGAGAAACTACCCAACATTGACAACACACGATGCAAAATGCGTTGAGAGCAAAGAACAAATTTTACCTGCTAGATGCTAGATGGGCACGTTAATTCGACCAGACCCTTCCCTGAAGACAGAGTAAGGATAAAATGTAATTCCATGGTCATATCATGGATTTTCAATTCCCTAGCTCGAGAGCTCCATGAGAGCGTAGCTTATGCTGATACGGCTAGAGAAATTTGGAAGGACCTGATGAACGGTTTTCCCAAGATAATGCACCTTGAGTATACTAGCTCAAGATTGATCTGTCTCCCCGGAATCAAAATGAGCTTTTGGTTGCTTCTTATTTCACCAAAATGAAAGAATTATGGGATGAATTTGGGATGTTGTCTACCACATCGGATTGTACTTGTGGAGCTGCAAAGGAATTGGCAGCCGAATGAGAGAAAGACAAGCTCTGTCAATTCTTGATGGGCTAGTATGCAATCAATCATCCTTGCTTCTGATCCACTTTCAACAATCAATCGTGCCTACGCACTTATTATTCATATTGAATTAATTGTAGGCAAAGCCTATGATGCATCAAGTGCAACATGCAACAAAGAATGTGAATGAATGATATGATAAATTGACACGTTACAAATTACATATTTAACATTGTTAAAATTTTATTGATACTTCGTGAAATGTAAATTAATGAAAAGTTAGTATACCATGTGATATTTTTAATCTGATTTATTGGAATCTTGATTTAATATGCGGCCAAGGCCAATATCATCGTAGTTAAATTCTTAATTATAATAATATTTATCTCACCTTTACCATGGTAAAGGCAGGATTGGATCAAAGTTCTCTGCTACAACCAACCAAAAAGACTTGCCAATAAGCCAGCTACCATCTTCGTGTTGTTAATCTCTATGGTGGAACCCATTCAATTGTTATCCCTATTCCTTGAACATGAGCAATTGTACTTAGTTATTAGGCCTTCGACTGTTCTATGGGTCTCATAACCCTAGCTCTAGGCCAAATAACATCAATACTTAATTACAAAGTACACTTATATGGAATAGACCAATGCCTACTGTTTTGAAAATGCCACCAAGTTAGGGTTGTCATGAGTACACCTGAATGCTCTAAGTGGTCCTTTTCACAATAGGATATGGGACCAAAACATTGTCACCAACTCATTCGCATCTGTCAATTGACCCCTGTTTTTGAATAAGGATAATACTACCAACACTCGCCCAAAACCACGATGTGATTACTGCAAAAAGATTGGCCTCGTTCTGGAACTCAAATTGTAGCCTGTGCCAATGCTGACAAAACTAATCATTCTGCAACATCCCTAGTGGCTGGTTTGACAGCTGATCAATATGTCCAGTTAATCTGATTGCTGAAGGCTGAAAAGCAACCAATCTGTGCCTCAACTACATTTGGTAATGCCCTTCTTATCTCTTGATACTTGTATTTGTTGGATTTAGACAGTGGTGCCTCAGACAACGTGGGTTCAAACACATCATACCTCAGCCATTGTGAGCCTCTATCTGTTCATCGTCTGGTTTTGCTTCCTAATGGTGAAACTCTTAAAGTTACGCACATAGGCTCCTTCTTGCTTACTCCTGTCGTTGTTGTTCCCGATGTGCTTTATGTTGTTGGATTCAAATATAATTTACCGTCAATCAGCAAGCTCACCATTCAATTCAATTGGACTGTATTGCTGTGTTCTCTTCTACCTGTTGTTCATTGCAGGACCGAGTCTCGAAGACTCCGATTAGCAAGGCAGAATTGGGTGATGGTTTGTACCCTTTAAGGACCTCCTTTGCCAACAATAACATACTTGCATTTAGTTACAGTCAACAATAACAACCATAGTCGATGCTTACATCCGTTCAACATGGGTATTCCTCATGAAGCAAAAGTCTGAAACATATCATCTTCTTGTAGTAGCATTTTGTAACATATTCACACTCAATCCGACAATAGGAAAGAATTCCTCTCTGGTCTTATGTTGAAAGAAAGCATTGACACCTCTTGGAGCCCATCAACCAGCCCATTGACAACACCACTATCAATAAATTTACCACTACATTCCATCAGCCCATCGTCACAACTGATCAAACTGAAAATACTATTACGAGTAGCCAACCTACTGCCACCACTGACCAACCAGCTGGGATTACTAGGCCCACCCGAACCAAGAAGCTTCCTTCTCACCTACAAAGATTATATCTGTCAATTTCCCACCTCACTATCTTCGTCTGTCATCTGTCGGCCGGATCACTTGAGTGAACCCGTTACATATTTACAAGCAACCAAAGACCCAAATTGGTGTAATGCCATGCATGAAGAAATTGTTTCACTTGAAATCAAGCATCTTCACCTGGAAAGCGACCCATTGGTTCTAAGTGGGTCTATAAACTCAAATACCGGATTGATGATACTATTGAACGCTATAAGGCGTGGTTAATAAGGGGTATACTCAAGTAGAAGGGCACGATTATCATGGCACATATGCTCTCGTGGCCAAGCTTGTCACGCTCCATTGTTTACTTCCCTTGTTGCAGTTTGGGGTTGGGAACTTCACCAGTTGAATGAAGAAGTTTATATGACAATTCCTCCTAGATTTCCTAAACATGAGAAAAATAAGGTTTGCAAACTCCACAAATCATTGTATGGCTTCAAGCAAGCATCCTAGTGTTAATTTGCAGCTACACTCAAGCATATTGGTTTTGTACAATCAGTGACTGACTATTCCTTGTTTACATCCAAGGTGGAAGGATCTTATGTTACAATTTTTGTACATCACAGGGGATGATGCAACAGGGACCAATTCTTTCAAGGTCTATTTGCATGATTGCTTCCGCTTGAAAGATCTGGGCCCACTACGAT